GCTTTCCAGTTGAGTTTTTGGTGGAGCAGTAGGTTCCGGGCGTTCTGAAGTTGCTTCCACGAATCTGACATTCCTGATATATATATATATATATATATATATATATATATATATATAGGGGGACAGAAAGACTAACCTTTTCACTTGATAGGCAACAAATGTCAGTAAACTATTTCATCTAGTGTGTCCGAAGTGGGTAAAACTGCATGAAGATTTGCAGTCTGAAAATCCTAATACTAAGCAAAAACAGATTACGCAATTTCAGGTATTTTCCGCGAACGACACCTCAAATATGATGAGAAGGGATTCCGTCCACCTAGAGATGTAAATATGGATTTTGCCATTATGTTGTTTATAACTGAAGCTCGGCGTCCAGTGGGACGAACATGGCATGAGTTGTAACCAGAGGCCCCAATAGAGTCTCCGTGGGTCACAGGCTATGCTTTTGGTCGAATTCAAATAGGTCATATCCAGTGAAGCAACGGCGTCCTGGGTATTCGGGAGTAGTATGTGGCCTGCGCAAGTTCGTCGCTCAATGCCCATCACCACGAGAACACTTGGTATGAAGCGTTAGACTGATGTTAAATCGATCCCTAATAGACATTAAAGTTTCTGCTACCCGCATTTTAGTTATTGTTGTTTATTCAGTCGAGATTTCGTCCGATTAGCTTGATGATCAATTTTTTTCCGAAATCCCAGTGGTACACACTAATGTCCTTCAGTGGAGATGAAACATCTCTAGGGTGGCTTTTCTTGACTTGGTTTCACCTTACTCTTGGCAAATGTATTATTAAGGAGTTTGGTGCATAATCCAATCCAAATCAGCCATTTACTTTCAGCCAATCCTTGAAGAGAGTGGATTATATTGCCAGAACGCTACCTTCTCGAAGTCATCTCAAGCATCGCGGCATTGCACGTTACCAATGCACATTAGGCCTCATTTGCGCGCGCTCGTGACTATCCTAGCGGGTGGATTGTTTGGCTCCAGATTGTTTTACTGATATATGGGCAATTCTGAGTACCAGACGTTTTATTCCTAAGTTTTTGGCATTCCGTCAGTCTAGCCAGAAGGCAACCATTCATGAATTGCTGTGACGCGCCAACAGTTTTGTTCTGTAACAGTCCACGCACGTCCGTCTCATTTATGCATGTGTATGTCTATGTTAAATGCAGTCTGTCAGGCGACGGAATGCGCTCTCCCCGTTCGATTGGAATCACGTGATCATTTCCACAATCCAAGCTTGACTATATGGGGAAGCAGACATCATGGGTTACAACATGGATAGCTTACGATGCATTAGTTTGGATTGTTTGGTGGACGCGGAAGGTTTTGTGGTCTGTCGGATTTTTCGGCGAGACGTATATTGTTTTCGTCTGCACATCCATGGGTACAAGTTTTCCGTTGGAGTTGATTAAATTTATTGACCAGTTGCATTTTTGCAAAAACATGTCGAATTCTGTCTCCGTCTGTAATTACGCCTCGTTCTTCCATCTCTGTTGGTTAAGGTGTTCAGTCAACCTAAGACGAATGATCATATAAGCTTGAATGTAAGCGTCTGTTCTCATACAAACTACGATTACGCTTTCCTTGGGCTGTGTTATGTGAGCTCATCACGTACTTGCTGGATCATTTTCAACTGGCATGCATTGAATGGTTTCTTCGGTATTCTCATTGGTGGCAGGTTATATTATCCATGAAACATTACCTGCTCACCTATCCGAGGTTTCGGACGCCCTACTTCACAACTCATCCGTAGGAAAGTTAACAGTTTTAAGGTTTTAAGAGCCTAGTTTCCGCTTATATAACCGCATCCTTCATTAGATAGGCTGGACCACTCATACATTTACTAGTTCTCGTTACATGCATCATCATCACCAGAGGTGGCAACATCAGTGTGGACGCAAGCTTCAATACCGTACAACCGGAATGCCTCTTTAATACCATTTAAGGTAAAGATTGAGTGGGTGAAGCACCTAGGGCCAACTCACCGTAACATCTTCCAATATCCAGTAGACTTCTCGAGGGTCGCATTTTTAACGAATTGAAAGAATTTCTACCGCAGTCTGTCACCCAATGAATAAACTTCATAGAGCGCAACAAAGACTGTCGTACAAGGAACATTTATCCTGTCATTCGTAGTCATTCCTCTGTAGGCTTCCTTGCTTACTGGTCGCTCAGCTGAGAGTGATTCACTTCTGTAGACTGTCCTCTTCTTGGGGTGTAATATGCGACAAAGGCGGTCCTTGTACGGAGATGCGTGCTCTGATTTCAATTTAATCACTTTTCCGATTCAACAGCGGTTATTTCCTTTAGTAAACCATTCTATGACGAAAACCATCGACAACATTGTGGTGAGTAGTTTAAAAGCCAGCGCCTCGCAATTATGCACCTAAGGTTGGCGTCCTATTGTTGGTTCGTCATCATCGCTGTCCAAAATCACCAGAACTGAGAGGACTAGAAAGGCAAAGAGATGCTACTGGTGATGGGTCGTCGTGCGATTCGTACATATGCAGCTAAGGAACACCCTTGGCTAAGCAAAATCGCCTTTGCTAGCGGTTGAAGATCCAGTCGGTATAACGTAGACAACAACATTTTGCTCAGCGTGGTTCGTTTCTGCTGCATTGTTGTGTGTGCGTTGGGTGTGATCGTGTCCTTTCACATCATTCTCTGTGTGGCCCTCTTTTCCTGTAACATATGCATTCTGGGTGTGTTTAACCGTCTGGATGCCGCTTTATGAATCAGCGATAAGTGATGTTTACATCATTGGGAGGAAACTGCGTTCCTCGCTGGGTACGTTTATTTCATGAGTTCAGACATCCCGGTTTTTGAGAAGGGGGACTGGGTTCGATCACATAGCCTTGCTTCAGATGGTGAACTATGTCTGTGATGTATGAGGGACGGACCAGCTATCATAACGTGAGGTATCTCTAAATTCTAAATTCAGCTGCAGCACTCTTTCGGTGCCTAGCTGCCATGCCACACGAAGGAGGCACGAGTACTGGGATGCCGCCAGGTCGCCCAAGCCTAGACAGGGAAGTCGAGAGGCAGAGGTCGGGTTCGAACCGCGGACCTTCCGGTCAGTAAATTCGTGCTCTAACCACTTGGCCCATCTCGCATCTAATCTGCGGCCCCGGATGATTTACTGGTGTAAATTCTATTCACTGACCAGCCTTGAGAATGCTGCTGGTGTGTTGTCCTAGCAGTAAGCAAAGCCCAACAGCTATCAGAAGTGCATACCGAAAAAGGAAGTTTTCATCGAGGTTTGATTTTGATATTTTTCAACCAAATGAGCATAGCAAAGTTTGCCTTGTGGTTCTTTAAGTCGGTTTTCGAATTATCGCATTGTTTCCCTGTGTAAGAATACTATGCGTGTGCCCAGCTTGGGATGACCTTGTGGAGCACTTGCAGAAGCCGATGTTCTAAGACACTTAGGGAATTTGTTCCGTGGAGAGTTGTGAGCATTTGTTATACATTGTTATAGGGAATGTTTGCTTTGTTGGTTTCTTATGGAGACATCATCTTGGTTGAGTTTCTTTAGTTCCTCCTTAAGTGGAATGTTCTTCATACAAGCGATGAACTCATCAACCCATAAGAGATTTTTTTGAAGTTGCTGATTTTACTCACTGTATTTTGGATTCCGAAGGGTTTCGTCAGCGCCTTTTTATGCTAGGCATGGCTAACCACTTGCCCATCTCGCATCTAATCTGCGGCCCCGGATGATTTACTGGTGTAAATTCTATTCACTGACCAGCCTTGAGAATGCTGCTGGTGTGTTGTCCTAGCAGTAAGCAAAGCCCAACAGCTATCAGAAGTGCATACCGAAAAAGGAAGTTTTCATCGAGGTTTGATTTTGATATTTTTCAACCAAATGAGCATAGCAAAGTTTGCCTTGTGGTTCTTTAAGTCGGTTTTCGAATTATCGCATTGTTTCCCTGTGTAAGAATACTATGCGTGTGCCCAGCGTGGGATGACCTTGTGGAGCACTTGCAGAAGCCGATGTTCTAAGACACTTAGGGAATTTGTTCCGTGGAGAGTTGTGAGCATTTGTTATACATTGTTATAGGGAATGTTTGCTTTGTTGGTTTCTTATGGAGACATCATCTTGGTTGAGTTTCTTTAGTTCCTCCTTAAGTGGAATGTTCTTCATACAAGCGATGAACTCATCAACCCATAAGAGGTTTTTTTGAAGTTGCTGATTTTACTCACTGTATTTTGGATTCCGAAGGGTTTCGTCAGCGCCTTTTTATGCTAGGCATGGTTGGACCCAATTCGAACGAGCTCAGTGTGCCGACATTGTTTCGATCATTTATCCCGGGCAACCGAACACCGCGAACGGAGCTGGAACTGTTATTAGCTCAGTCTAGTTCATCTTAGCTCCGAGAAAATGCAGCAGTGCGTTCAGGCCGGATTCTGTGAGTATTATCTGATGAAATAGAAATCGTAGGATCTAGATTCCACAGTATTCATATCTTAGTCACGGAAGTTAGATGTTGAATGCTTGCCAAGTCTGCCATGCGCATGAAAACTAACGCTACGGCTCTCAAATGTAATTCCCAGATGTGGCAATGGATGGGATCTTTTTCTGTTCGGTCACCATCATCGTCGTGAATTTTGGCTCGTTTGGCTTTTCTTCCTTTTCTCCTCAATTTGACACCAACAGACAGGATGTCGGCACCTTCGTTCACTACCACCCCAGATTGTTGAATCACCTTAGGATGGATTGAAATTCCTGTGGAAACCTCTTGGATGAGCTATCTCTTGGTGGGTGGGGGGTAGATTATACCTCAGCAATTTGGCAGATATCGTCTGCGTGCTTCAGATCGACAAGCAGCGATTTCAATGTCGAGGGTCTGAAGACCTAACGTTCACTTCATTATTTCACCGACGACGAAATTGAACAAGAATACAGGGGGTTGACATAATTCTCGGACACCACTTTTGTAGGGAAGCCTTTAGGGGGCTCACTATACACTCTCGCATGTCCAGAAGTGTGATACCTACGTGCCACCTACAGCTAAGAACACTCTCATGTCACATCGACCGTCGCATGGTGCCACCTGCTGGGTCGACTTACTTGCTACATTCAGCAGGGCGGTAAGGAAAAGCATGCTACTGCTAAAGCCTCCCTTCCACGTGTTCCCTCTTCTGCCCTAACCCGCCCTGATTTGAATTCTCTCTCCGCAGGTCTCAGCACTAGGACCGACCACTTTGTTCATCGTGTGTCACGTTCAGCTGCAGCCTCTGTGTCCGACTTCAGTGATAACGCTGAACAATTCCCCACTTTGTTATCGTGTGTCACGTTCAGCTGCAGCCTCTGTGTCCGACTTCAGTGATAACGCTGAACAATTCCAAGTCTGTTTTCCGACCCCGAAAGCCTAGGGCATTGGTGTCGTTTTATAGTGACACGTTATTATGTTTCACCTTCATTTACTTCTCGTTCTGGCAGGGGATTCATCGACAAGTTACTTTGACTCCAATGAAGCTATTCACTCAACGAAGAAGACAGCTAAGACACGCTCTCTGTGCTACTCGTGAGAGATATGCTCCACATTTTTCTATCATGGCACTACACATATGTGGTCAATAAATAGAACAACGTCTTTTGACTCGTGGTGAAAAAGATGTGTGTGGCGCATTCCTTCACTTGTGAAGCTATGTGGACAAGTTGGTCGTCTAGGCACTGTTGGATGTTGGTGTGTCGTTGGATGACACATGTAGTTGACCGTCCTTTTTGCTAGGATGCACTGAGAAAAGGGTAGTCAGTAATTCGCTTCGGGATCGGTTTGTACTGCTGAAAGTGCATGCGGTCGTTCACACTAACCAACTGCAGTTGTCGTCAGTTCTTTATTGACACCGCTCATAGCGGCCAGCTGTAGCACTCTTCCGGTGCTTAGCTGCCATGTCAACCGCAGGAAGCACGAGGGTTGGGATACTGCCAGGTTGCCTAAGCCTAGACAGGGGAAATCGAGAGGCGGAGGTGGGATTCGGACGTCGGACCTTCCGGTCAGTAAGTTGGGATACTGCCAGGTTGCCTAAGCCTAGACAGGGGAAATCGAGAGGCGGAGGTGGGATTCGGACGTTGGAACCTTCCGGTAGTAAGTTCGCGCTCTCACCACTTGGGCCATCTCGCCCCCGCTCATAGTAGGAATGTTTTCGTTCGCCCTTTCCACTTGTGACAGAAAGATTGAACATGGTGAGTCATAGTGAGTCCAAGCCCCATACTTTTAGTTGTATCGGTAACCCCTCAACTCGCTTTCCCAAGTCACCTTAAAAGGCACATCTAAAACCATAACATCTGTGGTGGTAAGTTAGGCGTGAAGTAACTTTCCGAAACGTTTTCTGACCTCATATCTGTTTTGCGGCTAACTCAGCTGTACATTAAAAAACAACCCGGTTGGAACGCTCCTATGCTTGCTGTGTCTCCCCAGCCATCTGGCTGTCACGCATGCCGATTTGAACATAGGCTGGTGTATCGGTCATTTGAGCAAGCATCTCAAACGTCACATACTCTGTGCCTCCCAAAATCATTTTCTGTTATCCAAGTACATCTTGAAAGTAACCAGAAGGCAGTTCGCGTAACAAACTGTATCGTAATCCTCGAACCCTTCTTCTGTCTGGATGAAAATCCCAAGCTGGTAGCTGAGGCATATACTAGTGTTTTTCCTGCACGAAAACTTGGCTTCGTTCCGTCAGAACACCAGAAGGGTAGAACCATAAGATGTTAAAAACTTTACTGCACGTCAAGGCTGTCTCAGCATTCCCCCTAATTTCGCTTTTGTAGTAGCTAGATGCAACGTACCTTTGATTCTAGAAAACTGACCATCTCACTTCAGACTGTATAAGAAATGCCTCCAAAATTTAAAGCCTCTGATGACCTTGTGTGTTGCCCAAATCTGGTCACATTGTGCAAACGCAGTTCATCAACTCAGATGAGGATCACTCGTATGTGGTTTCCTGGATTTTTACCCTACCCTTTTTCCTTTTCTTTTTTCCTCCCTCTCTCT